ATTAGTAATGACATTAAAAGTAAATGAATTGGAGACTTTGGGGGTCGGAGAAAAAAAGTAAATAGATTAAACTATGCAATCAAAAAGCAAACATTATCAGATTTGGATAAAAATCACAAGATCTATCTGTATGATGTCTACATGGGACACACTTCAGATTCAAAGATACACATAGGTTGAAAGTAGAAGGATGGGGAAAAATCATGCAAAAAACAATAAGAAAACTGAAGTTGCTATACTAATATCAGAAAAAATAGACTATAAAACAAAAAATTTTACTAGATATAAAGAAGGAAATTTTATAATGATAAAAGGATCAATCCACCAGAAATATATAACAATTATAAAGATATGTATTTCAGAGATCCAAAATATACAAAACACAACTGTCAGATTTGAAGAGAGAGAAATAGACAATTTAACAATATTTGGAGACTTCATTTTCTTTTTTTTTTTAGGCTGGTCAAGTGAAGCAGTGGGAGGGAGAAGGAAAGGAATCTATAACTGGTTGTGATCAATTAGTTGTAAGCACCACTGCACTCAGACCAACCAATATTTGGAGACTTCAATACCCTAGTTTCAATAATGGATAGAACAAGTAGGCAGAAGATCAACAAGGAAATAGAAGACTTCAACAATGCTATATACCAAAACTAGACCTAACAGACATCTACAGAACACTTCACCCAACAAAAGAAGAATGCAAATTCTCCTCAAGGGCTGGGATATTCTCTGGGATAGAATATATACTAGGTCATAAAACGAATCTCAATAAGTTAAAAAAGGATACTAAATATGCTCTGTGATCACAACAGAACTGTTGTAGGAGGAGAAGGAGGATCCTTCTCCTAATGACTGACCCAGAGGCCAGGCGAGGAAGAAGATGAGAATTTTATTCACTGGTGAGGCTCAGAGGACAGGGTCCATATTCTAAGCCCCGAACAAAGAGTGTAGCAGTCCTTTATACATTTTTTAGGAAGGGTGAGGGGCACAGTTACAATGTGGTTATCTCTATTCTTAGTGGGGGCAGGATCTTGAGCAGGCAGTGGTCAGGCATGTAGGTCGGTCTTGAATTCTTATCTTTCTGGTGCGGTCCTGTTTTTGTGAGTAAGCAAGTTACAGAAGTCATAAAGCAAGTTTTATGACCTTAGTTCCTGGTATAGAGTTTCTATAGAATTTTTCCTGTTTTATTTCTTTTTTGTTTCACAGGGGCTGGGGACCCATACCACAGAATGGAATTAGAAATTAATAACAAAAAGAAATTTTGGATTCACAAACATGTCGAAATGAACAACATACTCCTAAATAACCAATGGACAAGAAAAACATCAGAAAGGAAATTAGCAAATACTTTGAGATGAACAAAATGATGGCAAAACATGATAAAAGCTACAGGATACAGCTAAAGCAGTGTTGGGGAAATTTTAGAGCTTAAATGCCTACATTAAAAAAAGAAGAAAGATTTCAAAGCAATAACCTATAGTCTTTCACCTTAAAACACAAGGGATAAAAAGGAGCAAACTAAACCCAAAGCATAAAGAATAAAAGAAGTAATCAAAGAGAGAATAAACAAAACTAAAAGTTGGTTCTTTGAAAAGATCAACAAAATTGACAAATCTTTAGGTACACTGTCTTAGTCTGTTTTACCTTGCTATAACAGACTATCTGAGGCTAGGTAATTCACAAAGAAAATAGCCCTATTTAGCTTATGGTTCTGCAGGCTGGGAAGTTCAAGGGCATAGCCCTGGCTTCTAGGTAGGGTTTCTGTGTGTTGAAGGTCAAACGGAAACAGAAACACACAGAGAGAAAAAACCCAAGGGGCATACTGGCTTTATAAGAATCCACTCTTGAGGGAACTAATCTGTTCCCAAGAGAACTAATCCAGTCTCACCATAGTCAGAACTTACTACTGTAAGAACAGCACCAAGCCATTCATGAGGGATCTGACCCCACAATTCAAACACATCTCACTAGGTCCCACCTCCTAACACCACCACATTGGGGACCAAATTTCAACATGAGGACAAACTCAAACCATATCCAAACCATAGCACTAGTCAAGAAATAAAAGACTCAAATTTCTAAAACCAGCAGCAAAACATTAATATAATTAACATTATATAATTTAAATTTAATATAATTAACATTATATTAAAAATTAATATAAACATTAATGTTTAATATATTAAATGTTAATATGGGACATTAATATAAACATTACAGATATAAAAGGGACATTAATATAAACATTATAGATATAAAAGAGATTATAAGAGAATATTATGAATTACTCGAGGTTAATAAATTAGATAACTTAGATGAAATGGACATACTCCTAGAAACACACAAACTACCAAAACTGACTGAAAAAGAAATAGAAAGTCTGAATAGACATATAACAAGTAAAGAGATTGAATTAGTAATTTAAAAACTTCCGACAAAGAAAAGCCCAGGCCTGGATGACTTCCGTGCTGAATTCTAGCAAACATTTAAAGAAGAATTAATACAAATTTGTCACAAAACACTATGTTCCAAAATATAGAAGGGGAAGGAACATTTCTATGGGGCCAGTAATATCATGATACCAACACCAGACAAAGACACCACAACAAAACTACAGACCAACATCTCTTATGAATATAATCGTAACAATCCTCAACAAAATACTATGAAATTGAATCCAACAATACATAAAAAAGTATATACCATGACCAAGTGGGATTTTTATCAAGAATGCAAGGTTGGTTTAATATCTAAAAATCAATTAATTGGAACTATACAGAGAAGATTAGCATTGTCCATGTACAAGGATGACACACAACTTTGTGAAGTATTCCATATTTTTGTCAATCATAAAAAAGAATGAAATAATGTATTTTGCAGCAACTTAGATGAACTGGAGGCCATTATCCTACATGAAGTAACTCAAGAATAGAAAACCAAATACTGCCATGTTCTCAATTATAAGTGGGAGCTAAACTACGAGTACACATGGTCATCAGGAGTGGAATAATAGACATTGAAGATTCCAAAGGTGGGAAGGGATAAAAAATTACCTGTTGGGTACAATGTATACTATTCAGGTGATGTACCCTAAAAGCCTGGACCTCATCACTATACAATATATCCATGTAACAAAACTGCACTTGTACCCCTTAAATCTATTGAAACAAAAAATATATATTATGGGAAAAGAACCAAAAATCAATTAATGTAATATACCACATTGATAGGATAAAGAACAAAAATCACATGATCATCTCAATAAATGCAAAAAAGCATTTGTCAAAATTCAACACTTCTTCATGATAAAAAAAGACAACCTTCCAGGAATAGAAGGAAACTTTCTCACCTATATAAAGGTTAACTATGAAAACCCACACTAACATTTTACTTAGTGGTTGAGAGACTGAATACTTTTACCATAAGAATAGGAACAAGACAAGGAGGTCTGGCCATTCTTGCCACTTCTATTCAACATTGTGCTTAAAGTTTAATGTCTTAGTAGGCTTAGGAAACCATAATAAAATATTATAGACTGGGGTGACTTAAACAACAGCTATTTATCTTCTTACAAATATAGGAAGCTCTCATTGTACTCAAGGCAAGAGGTAATAGATGGAAATTGGTAATCAGATTTAGGAAATATTTTGGAGGTAGAGTTTATATGACATACAGAGTACACAAGAAGCCAGTGAAGAAAGAGAACAATAAGGAATTAATATGTAAATTTTTGGCTAAAGCAATCAGTTACAGAGGGAGAATCAAGAATTACATTTTTTGGCCATGTGATATTTGAGCTGCCTATTAGACATCCCAGAGATGTCCAGCAAGGAGTTGAACATACATGTCTGTGGTTCCCAGAAGGGTCAGAGATGAAATGACAGGCATATTGAAAGCTTTTAAAGTCAAGATGAGGTTATTTTGAGGAATGCATTAATAGGAAGAGAAAGAGGGGACCAGTAAAGCATCCTGGTGCATGCTAATGTCAAGTAGAGGAGGACCAGACAAGAAGTTTGAGAAGGATCAACTAGTGAGTGAGGAAGGAGAAAAACAAATGAGCCATTCAGCATGAAAGGAAGTCAAGGTATCAAGGAGCCGGTGACTGTACAATGCTGCTGGGAGTCAAGCTAGATGAATACCAAGAACAAACAACTGGCTTTGTTATTATGCAGATCACCTGTGTCCTTGAAAGGTTCACTCAGTGAAGGAGTGAGGAAGTCGACCAGCTGAAGTGGTCTTCAACTTCTCTGTCTCTAAGGAGAGAAGGTGAGGTGAGGAAGTGTAGTGGTAATAATTTTCATTTGACAGATGGGGGCGGTGCGGTGCACATTTTGGGTTGCATTTGTATTTACAAATATTTGAGGGAAAAAAAATCAAATATATGTTACAGGCCTTTTTGCCTAGATCCATTTCAAAGTTTTCATCTAGGATCTCTGTACCTACTGCATTTTTTAAAATTGAGGGATAACATACACCTGAAAATGCATAAAGTGCACTAACCACAAATTGTACAGCTCGATTGTTTTTTACATATTTGTACGCCCGTGTAACCACTATTCATATAAAGGTGTAGACTATAAAAGGTGCCCCAAGAGATTTCCACTGCACTTTCCCAGTCTACAATACCTCAGAAGTAAGCCAATATTTTGACTCCTATAAAGATTCATTACCTACCCTACAAAATTTTTCAAAGGAAACAAAACTCTGAAGGGCATTTAATTGGAAACGTTTTAGTACAGTATAAGCTTACCAATTGGCTTGAGTAAATATCAATGTCAACCATCTGGCGCCAAAATTCTGGTGGCGACTTTTAAACCATTCTCCGCAAAGCACCGCCCCACTTTCTACACCACGCCCGCTTTAGCTCTCTTCCTTCCGCGTAGCACTAGGGCATTTCAGGCGGGCGAAGAGGCCGCTCTTCTGTCATGCGCATGACGGAGAGGCGCGCTTCCCTCTTTCTCTGTTCACCGAGCTCTGGGACCAGGCTCTGTCATGCGCGTTGAGATTCCTCTAGGCAAGCGCGGCTGGCCGCGCCGTGCTGCGCATGAGCGGAGCGGCACTCAGGGCGGAAGTAGGAGCCACTGCTGGGAGGTGGGGCCGCAGAGCTCGCTGTGAGGTGGGCGAGCGGCCGACATGGCGCGCTCCCGAAGTCTAATGGTTTCCCTGGCAGTCTTGGTGCTGTTGCTTTGGAGTGCTCCCTGGACCCACGGGCGGCGAAGCAACGTGCGCGTCATTACGGACGAGAACTGGAGAGAGTTGCTGGAAGGAGACTGGATGATAGAGTTGTGAGTGCAGGGCGGTTGTCGGGGTCCTATATCTGATCCTGGACACACGGCTTCACCCCCACGTTCCTAATGCTGGTCCCAAGTTCCCGAGGACTGCCCCTCGGAATCGTAGAGCGGGCGTCCCCTACTCCGGATCCCAAGACTTGCCCTATTCTCATTCCTTACCCTGGAATATTAAGTTTCTGCTAGTGTGCACCCTAGTTTCATTTCTAGGGCTGTGGTGCGCTTAAAAGATTACGTGCCACTTCGAATTCTCTGTAACTTTTCTTCTTGACTTTGCGGATGGGATTAGGGTGGGGAAGGGGGTGTGACTAGTTCCCATACTGGTATTTTAGAATGATCTTTCATAAACAGACTTACAGACTTATAAGCTTTACAGAAGAGGATAATGAGCAGAATCTTTCCTTGCCTTTTGTCTGTCCTTAAAAGATAGTCCACTTATAGTGTTGGAATTTTGGACTCTTTATTGTTTATTTTTTATGAATTAGGTACATTTATTGTAAATACCGGGTAAATTCAAGTTGGGTTATTTTAAAATCTCAGTTTCCTATTTTTCCCTCCTCTTCTGTTATCTTCCTCTTTCACTCCACATCTCGTTTTTCTTTTGGATGTGTATTTTTGCAGTGTAGAGAATGCCTTGCGTTGTGACTTCTAGGCCTTTGTAAGTGGTATTGCATTAAAACATAAAATTAACAAATTTACAAATTAAATGTGATTACTATAAATTCTCAAGAGGTCATTTATCATTCAAACAAAATCGTGTCTTGTGTAGTGATTCCAGTTTAGTAATGTCAGTTCTGTAGCAGTAGGAAATAAACCATCTGCCTTTGCTTTAGATACTAAATTGGTGGTGGTGGTTTTATCAATACTGGTGGTATTCCTGATATTAATAAAAGCACCATGGAGTGTTACCTATGCCCTGGACATTGATAAGCATCTTTATGTATGTTATCCTATTTAATTCCCTACAAATTCTCTATGATAGGTATTTCCCCATCTTACAGATGAGAAAAAGATGGCTAAATACCACAACCTGACCAGATGTTACTATGCTGGCTTTCTTTGGATCTCTAGAGTAGGGATGCAATAATTGTTAGGACACCCCGTTCTTTAATAAAGTTCAGGTGAGTGTTTTTCTGTATCGTGGATGCGACTAGGGTTGTCAGTCAAGGAAACAGGTGGAAGTGGACATCTCCAAGGGGGAACGTAGAAGGTCAAATCAGTAAACTTTGAGTTATTAAAAAAAAAACCCACAAAAACTTACAACATTTATATGAAGGTAGGATAGGGGAAAATGTTTGTAGTATGCATATAATTCACAACTCAGTAAAATGAATTTTCAAGCACCTTAATGCTTCAGGGGAGAGGAAATATAACCAGTGAAAGTGTTTGCTTTCCAGTCATTGTCATGAGTAACTTGTTTTAGATTGTGCCCATAAAATATTCAGTGTTATAAGCAATATATTAAGCAATAGTGATTATGAATTTATATATAAAATATAGGCAAGTATTACTCAAGGTAATTTTTTAACTCATTGGATCAAACAATATAACTGTCAGAAGTAGTATTAAGGGGTACAAAACTAACAAAACATTGAATATGAGGCAAATCCAAATTAGAGTATCTATCTGAGATTATAGTATACAGTAATGTTTTCCCTAAGCTAAAGATTATAGATTAATCTTTAGAAAGGAACTGAGAAACAAAACGAACTTGAAAAAGAAGGGATCAAATAATCCTAATAAAAGTCTGTTTTTAATTACAAGTGAATTATCTTTAGTAAATCCATTTCTGATCAGAAGTTTTGTTTTAGAGATGTTTTCATTGTGATACAATTTATTGTCAAGGAGTTTGGCTTTTATATATAATACCAATTTGTCTTGTTCTACAATGCTTATTTTAGGACTTTGATTTTTCTAAAACAAGTCAAGAAAATGTGAGGTACAGAAACTGTACTTTTATGTTAACAGCTATAGGCTTTATTCTTCTTGGTTCCATAGAAAAATAAAAACTGAGGTATATTATTAGATAATATATAATAATAAAGTGAAAATAAAATCCTAGGTAAAGATCAGGGCCTGGGAAGATAATGAATACCAGAGGAGTAATTAAAATGCTAATATGCTTGGCCATAGAATTTGTTAGCCCTAGATCTTGGAAACTGCCTGACCTCTCTGGCCAAGAGTTTTGTTTGGCCTACTTAGTATTGGTGTGTGGGTTAAGTTTTGAGGTTAATTTTCTTAACGTAAAAATGCAGATCTCCAGCTTTTAAATATGAATAGCTAGCCTCAGGACCACCTTCCCTTTTGGCAATCCTGAGTAGTGGTTGCCACCTTAAAATGGAGCATGCCATTCCTTATTCATAACAGCCTAGGGAACTTGCTGTTTTTCCAACACCTTGCATTTCTGACTCTGCAGTGTAAAATTATTAAAATTGGTGAACTCCAAATTTGTTTTTGAACTTCTGCAGCCACATTTTAACAGAAAAATCCAAAGATTTCTAAAGAGCTGTTTTGCATTCAAGTCCTTGTGTCTTAAGAACTTATTCCCAGAATTTTTTGTGATTAGTATCAATTCGTAGTTCTTGATTTTATTGTTAGACTTAAAACTTTTTCATCTGCATAAAATGAATCATTTTGTCATCTTCAGCATTTTTAGTATAAAATATTCCTTACAAATATACATTTTAAAATTTGTATCCAAGATGAATGGTCATATTAAAGTGCTTAACATTTTTTTTTAAACTATATTTCTTAGTTATGCCCCGTGGTGCCCTGCTTGTCAAAATCTTCAACCAGAATGGGAAAGTTTTGCTGAATGGGGAGAAGATCTCGAGGTTAATGTTGCAAAAGTAGATGTCACAGAGCAGCCAGGTACTGTAAATTGGTTAGGTTTGTTTCTTTGCTGATTTAGTTGACATGTCTATCCTATTTTTCACATGACATGGTATTTACCGTTCACTAGGTTTTGAAAACATAGCACTCATTCTGCAACTAAGTTAAGTTGATTCATCTAGCCTTCCTTCCTGATGAGTTCTCACTTTGCAGCAGCTGCAAAAAGCCAGCTTCCCCAGCTGTGTATGCAGCTCATTTCTTGTTTGTGTTGCCCTAAGGGACCCTGAAGACATCACCTTCTCCCCATTCTTGCCCACAGAACTCTGTCAGTCTGTTTTGTTTTGTTTTTTTTTTTTGCATCCAAGTCCCCAGACTAGCATGTAAGATGCCTAGAAGTCCTAGAACACTGTGGTCCAGGTGGACATTGGCCAAGCCATCATTTGTGTCCACACCAAACTTGAGAATAAGGTGCATGTGGTTGAGTTTCATTGTAGAGTCATGGTCACATTGCCTGATATGAAAAGATCTGAATCTCTGAAATTAAGTTCCACATTTAGTACCTATGATTTGAGAACGTAGGCTCTTAATTACAAAGCCATTGTAGTTGAGGGGTCAGGTACACTTCTGATTTGGTACCCTGGACAAGTGGCAGGCCCTTCCCTTAGGATGCTCCTTTCTCAGACCAGCTTCATCTTACCTGTACTTGGTGGTCACAGTAAATCTGGGTTCCTGGCTGCCCCACCCCAAATGTTGGTAATAAATATTATTTATTGAGCACTTACCTATTGCAGCAGTCTTCTAAGTGTTTTGCATTTATTACTTAATGCAATCTTGTGAGATAATGTAATTTTCTCATTTTACAGATAAGAAAACTGAGGCATAGCAAGGTTAATCCTCAATTGTCAATCGTCAATTAACGATTGACACATTTAACTGTTAGTGTTATTGCCTGTCTTATGAAAGATTCATAGTATTTTCCATTTATTATCAACACCATAAATTGCCTTTGTTACTTGAATAACAAGTATAATTTCATTTTATTTTAGACTTTTCTGAGACTCTATTATATTGTACTCTCACATGACTCGTGACTAGTCTTAATTTTTAGACAGTGGCATAATTGATCAGGTGTTTATATTCGTAATTATGTTTGACATTCAAGATTTGCAGACTGTTTAATCGAGATAATATGCAGTAATGTTTTTTAAGTTGCTTTGAGTATCTAATTTTTTTATTATTTATTACAAAGCTCATCCATTAAGTTTAATTGCATATTCTTTCCTATTAGTACATATTTAAGTAATTCAGTATCAACTTCTAAGTAGTCAGTGATTGGCCCATATAAAAACCTGCTGTGTGTTCTTTATCATTTGTAGGACTGAGTGGACGGTTTATCATAACTGCTCTTCCTACTATTTATCAGTAAGTATTTGAAGATTCTCACTTATGAAGAAGAATGCATCATAGTGTAATCAAAATAGTAGGTCTCTGGTGTGGATAGTTTGAAGGGCTGAGGTAATCTCATTATATTCAGCAAGTATTTTAGAGAGCTTATTTTGTTCTTAGTGTTGTTACCCAGGGTGCCTTTAGATAGATGAGTGATGTGTGAAACAGCCCGTTCTCACAGATTGACAATTGATTTAGAAGGTGACGTTCATATGAAACGTGAATATCTCTTTAGTGTGGTAAATGATTATGAGCCCATAGTAGTGGTTAGTCCTATAGGTAGTTAGATAAAGGAGAAATCACTGTTCTTTGGAGTGGTTCCTAGAGAATATGGGGTTTAAATGAAATCTTAGAAGTAGAATTTTTAAGAATGTAAGGTCAGCATTTTGTTCTGAGGATGGACTCATATACAGCCATTAATAGGAACATGGTTATCTTCAAAAAGTAGCTAAGAAAATGCTGTTGCACAGACATGAAGAGCAGTGGGTGATATGATTGGGTGTTAAATCAGAATGAACGAGATCATGTGGTCTTTGATATCAGGTCTTTTAGTTTGATTTCATCTTGTAAATTGGGGGTAGGAACTCTGAAATCTGTATACCTGCTATGTACCTTAACATCATCTAGCTGGTTAGTTAAATACCAGGAGGTACTATTCTCCTTGTTTAAAGTTTTGAAAAACGAGTTGGCAGTTCTTTGTGTGTGTCTATACCTTTTCTTGTTCTTTTTTTTTTTCATGTTTTTTAAATTCACCCCTAGTCTATTTATATCTATTTAAATTTCTATTCCCTGTCTCATAAGTGCTTATTTCCCTCCCTTTGCACTCAGTCCTTTTCCATGCATGTCCTTAACTAGCCATAAGCAATCTCTACCTTTTCACTTCTCAGTACCCCCTGAACTTACCTGGAATTTCCTGTCCATTTTCTTTTAGTCAAATTGTTTACCATGCCCTTTTCCCTATTTTCTGCCTGTTGAAATCCTACCCATCCTTCAAAGAATACTCAAATGCTACCTTCTCAACAAAACTTTGTTTTTGAGTGGGGGCTTTCTTATGGTCTCTACTTCTGCTTAGATGAAGGCTCCCCTACCCCTACTGTAGGTACCGTGTTTCCCCGAAAATAAGACCTACCCATAAAATAAGCCCTAGCAGGATTTCTAAGCATTTGTGCAATATAAGCCCTACCCTGAAAATAAGACCTAGTGATGGGCGTGGCTACCCAGCATATCTGCACAACCCCTGCATTTCGTCGGAGCGGAAAGAAGACGAGCAGCCCTTCTCATCTGCCCCATGAGAGCTCTATTGCTGGACATGAAAGATTGGAGCCAATGATTCTAAAGGAAATAGAGTCGCAAGAAATTCAGGATGGAATTCGGGGTTCGGAGAGTTATGATGATGTTCTAGAAGAAGACAACTATATTTGAATAAATGTAGATTGTTGTACTGTACATAAAAAAAATAACACATCCCCTAAAAATAAGCCCTAGAGTGTCGTCTTGAGGAAAAATAAATATAAGAACCTGTCTTATTTTCGGGGAAACATGGTAGTAGGGAACTACTGAGTTTTTGCACATAGCAATATGGCAGTTGGGAGAGCATGGGAATGGGAAGGAGGAGGTGGATGTAAGGAAGACTGCAAAGCTGACCGTGAATAGAATCACTGAAATGGGAGGAAGGGAAGCACTATACCAGGTGCTTCCAGCAATTTAAAGCAGGATGGCTGAGGTGACGTGATTATGACTGAAAGTACTGGAAAAATACTTTAAATTTTTAATTTGAGGTTTAACAATAGCTAATATGTGTCAAATCCAATTCTAACAACTTTTTATATAGTAATTCCTTTAATACGTGTATTTCATATAAAATTTAAAAGTGCTTGTCTGAGATTTATCTACTTACTGTGTTTCGTAGTTTTATTATTTAGAAGAGTAAATAATAAAAAAATCTAAGGTTATTATTTATTTTTTTTTAAATCTTTTAAGAGACAGGGTCTTGCTCTGTCACCCAGGCTCCAGTGCGGTGGTGTGATCATGGCTCACTGCAGCCTCCAACTCCTGGGCTTAAGCGATCCTCCTACTTCAAGCCTCCCGAGTAGCTGGGACTACTGATGCACCTTAGCACACCTGGCTAATTTTTTTTTTTTTTTTTTTTTGGTGAAGATGGAGGGATGGGTCTGGCTGTATTGCTCAACCTGGTCTTGAACACCTGGCCTCAAGCATCCCTCCTGCTTTGGCCTCCCTACCTTGGGATTATAGGCATTTTTTAAATGCCACCTAATTGTTTAATGAAATTTTGGGCTAAGATGTCATGAGTAGGTAATTATAATTTGCTACTTGTGCATTGCTAATGCTTTTGAATATTAGAGTTGGCTATAAAATGAGATAAAGAAGTAGCAGAATAAACATGAAATTATTTCTCAGTGCTGGTTAATATTTAATTCTGATCCTCTTTAGTTGTAAAGATGGTGAATTTAGGCGCTATCAGGGTCCAAGGACTAAGAAGGACTTCATAAACTTTATCAGTGATAAAGAGTGGAAGAGTATCGAACCTGTTTCATCATGGTTTGGTCCAGGTTCTGTTTTGTAAGTATGAGGGATTTTACTCTTACCTATTTCAGAATTAATTGGAACAGATAATTTCATGTAAATGAAGCATTCATATTCAATTCTTTCTTGGGCTCATAAGGTATATTCTGATTATTATGTGCTTGACATTTTTAGTTTGACCTTATCTTTTAAGACAAATAGATGTTTTCATGCTTGTTAAGCTAGAAGGAAGCATTCTGTAGAATTAAGTTGGATACCATTTAAGGAATATTTTAGCTTTGTGGATTTGGTCATATGTATCATCAAAAACTAAATCCCCCTAAGAGTATGAGCAAGGTAATAGGTAAAGCTATCACTTGAGTGTAATAATTTGAATGAGACGACCTAAACACTTACTCATGCTACTTTTAGATTTCAGTTCTTTTTGTAAAGTGATTGAATTATGTTTGATTGACTATTCTACTTGTCTGATAAATTGTTATATGAATAGTGTAGATGAACAGTGACACTAATAGCATGACTAACCACAGAGCTTTATAGACAGCTAGAGATTAGATACATTTCTCCATAGCAATTACCTATGGAATGGTAAGGATTAGAAAAAACAGTTCCTGCTACACTGTTGGGGTGCATTGCCTCACTGGTCATTTGAGAGACCTCTGGAAATAGTTTTGCTGAGGTCACTGTGGACTCATCTTGGTTTGGCCAAGCTGTCTTCTCCTGTCCATCACCACACTTGCCCTTGGAGAGTGGAGAGTTGGGATTCTAGGAGTGGAGGAAAGATCAGCTCAGAGCAGCATTTTGAAGTAGAAATTTACCTTTAGTGTCTTTCCTTTCCAAGCCTCTCCTAGAAAACCTCTGAATTGTCTTTCAGCTATCAGAACTCACCCATTCAACCATCTTGCCCAACCCAATGTTCCTGAAATAGTTAAAGTAGTACAGATTACAGTGAGGCTATGCAGTTCTTTATATTTCAGTTCCTTATTCCTGTTCTCACTTGGCTTTTTAAAGACAGAAGCACCATGGTTAAAGTACCTTTCTATGTTGAACTGAAAATGTAACTGATTTTTGTTCTTTGAATCTCATAAATGAATCTTATCTTTCTCCAGTAGAAGAAGGTGTTTGCTTGTAAGTCTGTGTTGAATCCTCAGGCAATAGGATTTTTATTGGTAGACCATTTTTATTGGTAGACCATGTACCATTTTTATTGGTAGACTGAATAGGGAACATTCCTACTGTTAGCAGGTTCATCACCCCAGTGATGGGAGTTGGGTCAGGACATCCTACAGTAGCTTTGGCTTTGTCCCTTGACAATGCCAGCAACACTTCTTGCTAGAGGAGAAATGGTTGAGAACTCACAAACACTTCTTATTCCTGAAGCGTGTTTTTTTTTTTTTTTCAAACTACCCATCTAAACTACGTGGATTTAATTGTGTAAAATAATAGTTATTTTTACTTATCTGATAACTTATTTTACTTATTTGATAACATAGCATTTATTTCCTATGTAGTTATTTTGTATAGCATTAAAAGATATCAAACTAATGCTATTATAAATTTTAATTAATTTTAATAAAAAAGGGGGATAATTCTTAAGTGGGAAGAATCAGGTAAACAAGTGTTCCCAGTTCTTCCTTCAGGCTCCCTTTCATCATTCTCTTGGAGGATTTTAAGGGTGAATAAGATTTGTTGTTTCCAACTGGTTTCTTAGACCTTGTAACCTACTCAGCGTATTGGAAAATCATCAGATGAAAGATGAAGTGTTAATGTCAGAGCTATAGGAGAAAAGGAAAAAAATTGTCAAGTATTTATAAGGATGTCACATGGTAGTAACAATTCAGAAATGGTTACTTTTCATGAACAAGTCTTATTATAGGCATGAGATTTATGATACATCATTAGTCTTGATTAACACCAGCAATAAAATCTGCCATGTTAGGAAAATTCTATAGTAGAAAATAGAATATATAGATATAGACAAAGCTGTGTATGTTACTCAGTTTTTCAATCATCTCTTTTTTATTTTAGGATGAGTAGTATGTCAGCACTCTTCCAGCTATCTATGTGGATCAGGGTATGGACTAAAAAATTATTTCTATCTTAATCATTTTTAACACTGTTGTTTTTTTTTTTTTTTCAAATGAACAGTTTTTTTCTTTTGATTTTAGACTTGCCATAACTATTTTATTGAAGACCTTGGATTACCGGTTTGGGGATCATATGCCGTTTTTGGTTTAGTAACTCTCATTTCAGGACTGTTATTAGGACTCGTAAGTACTACATTTTCAGATTACTTGCAATAAATGTATTTTTAAATATGATAATTTAATGTAACTGCACTGGCTATATCATATTCTATGTTAATATTTCTTACAATGTTTACTTTTGCAGTGTATGATATTTTTGGCAGATTGTCTTTGTCCTTCAAAAAGGCGCAGACCACAGCCATACCCTTCAAGTAAGTTTATTTTAAAATGTTTATTTTAATAATCCCATTCATTTCTGTAAATGAGCACACATTTAACAGATTGCCTTTACAACTTAGGTTTGTAAATGTTGAGTGGTGGTCTATATCAGCAATGGCATAAGGGAAAGGGGAGGAGATATATTTTATGGGAGGATGGTAGCCCAGTGGAATTTGGAACATTGTTATCTTCTTGACTCTTAGAACATGGAGAATTTTAACACTGCATATAGCATATAGATATTTTAATACCTGATATCAGTTTATTTGAAAATTTCATATTATTTATAGAGCCATTTAACCATACGTGAGTCAAAATTTTAATAAGTTGAATCTATTCTACTCTGAAAATCATTCATTATAGTGACCACATTTAAAGATTATTCTTTGAATGCCAGCCAGTTCTTCGCATCTTCTGGTAGCATATTGGAAAAAGCAATTCCTGTAGGTGACTTAGGACTGGCATTGACACTGAACTGTACTACAAAGAGAGTTTATATAATCAGAAACATTTCCTGCTCTCTGTTGTAATAATATAATTATCTACTAATCATTTATTTTTAATCTTGAAAATTGCTATTGATGGAAGCCCTCATATTTCTAGTTACTAAAGAACTTTTACTTATCTTTCTGTTATCCTGTTTGATTTTCAGCAAGCAACTCTGTAGTAGTCTCCGTGAGTGATAACTGCTCCTATTTTGTAGTTGAGGAAAATAAGGTTCAGAGAGATGAAGTAGTATTTTTCCACAGTCACACAGAGATGACAGAGCTGAGGGTAGAACTAAATCAGAGTGGTGGCTTGATATTTATTCTGTTATGCTGCCTTTTTTGATTGTGAGTTTATTGAGATCTAAATTTTTAAATGAAATCAGTGGAAATTGCATTTATGGTATACATTGTCCCTTGGATGACTGATAGGTCATCTTTTCATTTTCTGTGCAGTTGCATTGATACCAAAAGGGACCAGCATAAGGGAGGGAATCATTTTATCCACCAAGGGCCACTGATCTATAGGAAGAAAATGTAAGCACAGATTACTTAGAAGACAAATTTATTGTTGGGTTTAAGGGTTTTTTTATATATTTTTATTTTTATTTATTATTTTATTGCAGCGTATTACAGGGGTACAAACATTTTGGTTACATGTATTGCTTTTGTACAGTTTGAATCAATGTTATAAATGTGCCCATCACCCACATACTGTACCTGTTAGCTGTGAATTTACCCAACCCCTCTGCCCTCTCCCACCTGCTTGATTTCTGTTGAGTTTTACTAACGTATATACATATGACTGTTGATCAATTAGTTCCAGTTTAACAGTGAGCACGTGTTTTTCCATTCTTGTGATACTTCATTTAGAAGAATGGTCTCAATTTAAGGTTTTTGAGATGAAATAACTATAAAATGTTCATTTACCAACTTTTATATCAAATATACAATATAATATTTGATTTAGTAAATACAACAGATAGGTATATAAAAATATCTATACAGAAGGTCTCTTACCTATCATGGTTCAACTTACAATTTATATATATATATATATATTATTTTAGTTTTTCAACTAATTTCTTTCTGTTTTTTTTTAGTAGAGACGGGGTCTTGCTCTTGCTCAGGCTGGTTTCAAACTCCTGAGCTCAAACAATCCTCCCGCCTCAGCCTCCCAGAATGCTAGAATTACAAGCATGAGCCACCACGCCTGGCCTCAACTTAGAAGTTTTAAAAAATTTTTTTAAATATTTATTTTTTAGAGATAGGGTCTAGCTCTGTCACCCTAGCTGGAGTACAGTGGTATAATCATTGCTCACTGAAGTCTTGAATTCCTGGGCTCAAGTGATCTTCTCGCCTCAGCCTCCTGAGTAGCTAGGCCTACAGGTGCGCACCACCATGTCTGGCTAAAATTTTTTTCAAATTTTTATTTTTTTAGTGACGGGGTCTTGCTATGTTGCCCAGGCTGGTCTCAAACTTCCAGCCTCAAGCGATCCTCCTGCCTCAGCCTCCCAAAGTGCTTGTATACAGGTGTGAGCCACTGTGCCTGGCCCAACTTAAAATTTTTTGACTTTCCAATGGTTCAAAAACAATGTGCATTCATTAGAAACCATACTTCAAATTTTGAATTTTGATCTTTTCTGGGACTACTGATAATGCCATACGATATTCTCATGATGTTGGGCAAATTAGGTTAGGTTAGGTATGTTAAGTGCATTCGAGTTATATTAGGATAGGTTAGGTTAGGTGTATTACATGCATTTTTTTTTGAGACGGAGTCTCGCTTTGTTGTCCAGGCTAGAGTGAGTGCCGTGGCGTCAGCCTAGCTCACAGCAACCTCAAACTCCTGGGCTCGAGTGATCCTCCTGCCTCAGCCTCCCGAGTAGCTGGGACTACAGGCATGCGCCACCATGCCCAGCTAATTTTTTATATATATATCAGTTGGCCAATTAATTTCTTTCTATTTATAGTAGAGACGGGGTCTCGCTCTTGCTCAGGCTGGTTTTGAACTCCTGACCTTGAGCAATCCGCCCGCCTCGGCCTTCCAAGAGCTAGGATTACAGGCGTGAGCCACAGCGCCCAGCCTACATGCATTTTTGACTTAGGATATTTTCACCTTATGATGGATTTATTAGGAGGTAACCCCATCGTAAGTTGAGGAGCATCTATATTATGTTTGATTTTCTTGGTTACCTGTTCTGTGTTCATTCTCACCTAAAACCTGTGGCTATCAGAAATTCTTTAGGGTGATCAATGTGCAACTGGCCTTGGATACTATAAACGTACCAAAGTTCATACTGAATCACGCAATGTGTAGACTGAATCATTCCTGCCTGATTCTCTTCTCTGTCAAAGTTGTCTGCCAAATGTTTACTTTGGGAGTTTGTGTAGAGTGATTGCTCTATGTAAGGATGTAGGTGTTGGAATCTGAGTTGCCTTACCACTTAAAGCAATCTTGAGAGTATATAAGACTTACCTAGAGAATACCTAGAGAATGTGTTGAAACAGATTGCTGATCCCCATCCTGGGTTTTGAATTCAGAAGTTCTCTGGTGGGGCATTTTTAACAAATTTCTAGGTGAAGTTGATGTTGCTGATATGAAGACTACTCTTTGAGAACCATTGTCTTTGAGAAAGTGGTTACCAACCAATAGGAAATTCTATAGTCCCTGGACCATGAAAGAGCTTGTCTTTTGGTGTTGGCCATATAAATTCTTAAAAGAATACTGACTCTGGCTCTGGTAAGCTCCCTTCTATGGAATATATTGTGAAATGTATAACTGGTATTTGCAAAAGGGGCTAACAAAAAGGGTAGGAACAATGAATAGGCACAATTTTAGAAACTTCCTAACAGTGGAACCTAAGGAAATGGCAGAGGTGACACTCTACCTCTTTCAACAAGTTACAAGGAAATTCATTTCTTGGAAATTAATTTTTAAAAATGAACTGACTAGTTCATGTCAAGCTACTTATGTTTGTCTCTCCTCTGCTACGACCCACAATAAAGTAACTAGATAAATCTGTACCTTTAAATATCTGTTAATTTGGAGAGATTGAAAGGCATAAAGTAATTGGTTTTCTGAATGCCTCCCCAAATGAATTAAGCAGAAGGCAGCATGGTCTTTGAGCTAGAGAGATCTGATTGGGGATCCTAGTGCTACCACTTAAAAAAGCAGTATAATAGGCATTTCCTAACCCCTGAACATGTTTCCTTCTCTGTGAAATGGAAATAATTATACTTGCCTCATTGGATCATTGTGATGCAAGATAAGTATGTAATTCTCATATTATTACATATATTGCTAATAAACACTCAGTGTATATTCACTGTGGATATGATATATAATTTGTTTTCCTTTAGTGACACAACTAATAGATATTAATTCAGACTTTAATGTGATATTGTCCCTTATATAGCAGGTCACATGATTTGAGTTGTTTTCCAGGATGTGTGTTTGGGTTAGATTTTGAGTTGGTAAGGAAAGAAACCTAACTCAGTCTACCTTTAAGAAAAATAGGAATCTCTATAGGTCATGTAGCAAGTAAGTCTGAGGGCAGAGTTGACTGTCATCTTGGAGCTCAAATGATGTTAAGATGCTTTGTGTTTCTGAATTACTGAGTTCTCCATATCTTTATTTGTTCCATTTTCAGCTTGCCTTTTTCCAGTCAGCGTGAGATGATTATAGAAAGCCATAGCTCACAATCCTAGCGTAAGAAGGAAATCCATTTTCTTCCTATACCCACTATTTTGGAGAAATTCTGGTGCACTCCATTTGTGTAAAGGGCTCACTTCTTGGAACAGTCACTGTGAATCAGGGTTTTTCAACCATGACACTATTGATATTTTTGGCCAGATAATTCTTGATGGTGATGGACTGTCTTTTGTACATTATTCAATATTCAACAGCATTCTGCTAGTTGCTGGTAGTACTGCCTGCCTCAGGTGTGAAAACCAAAAATATCTCCACTCATTGCTAAGTGTTCCTTGGGGGTCGAACTTACCCTTGGTGGAGAGCCACTGCTGTAAGCTGTAATATTCACCCGAACCACAAGAGATGAGGCATAGGGAAGGTGCTGTTAACCCAACAGAAAGAGGAGGTACCAGGAAGACTGAACAAAAGATTTTCCAGTTGTCCACTACTAATAATTTTTTCCCGTAGTTAGTTCTACTTTATTAACTCCATCCTAACCTGTGTTCCCCTGTCCCCCCTGAATTCTGGATTGCCTAGGGTTAGGGGTAGTCTGAGATTACTGAACAGAGTAAAGCTCTTTGGCCAGTTCTCACTATGTAGTGCTCTAAGCTTAAGTTAACTAGCAACTGGCTGTATAAAAAATAGAAAGAGTATATATATGTATATATACTTATATATTCCTTTAGCTGTACATTAAGATTTGCACATTCTATTGTCTGTAATTAGACCTTAATAAAATGGCATAGATGGGGATGGGGAGGGAAAGCACATTTATGAGAGCAGGAAAAAATGTGGACAAGAATATAATCTTAAACTGAAAATTTGTGATTCCTATTCCCTTGCAAACTAAAATAAGGATAGTGTTGATGTTTTAGTATAATTATTGACCAAGAGATTAATAGCAGATTAATATAAGATAGTTCTGTCCAACCACTATTTTCTTACATATTCATAGCATTAATGTCAGTTCAGTTTATAAATAGGTAATTTGAATGAAGTTGGTAAGTAATACGGCTCCTCCAAATTTTATTTTTATATCCACTGAGTTTTTTTGGTCTTATTTTTAATAATATCTTCCTTTTGGAAACCTAAGCACTATAAATAAATGCCAAAGCAGTTTATAGGTGTATGAGTCATTGTATCTTAATTTTACTCTAAATCGAATACATCAACAAAAACACATTTTTGATCTTTGTCTTTAAGAAAAAATATTACCAGAATCTTCTCAACCTTTGAAAAAAGTGGAGGAGGAACAAGAGGCTGATGAAGGAGATATTTCAGAAGAGGAAGCTGAAAGCAAAGAAGGAACAAGCAAAGACTTGCCACAGAATGCCATAAGACAGCGCTCTCTGGGTCAATCTTTGGCCACAGATAAATCTTAGTTAATTTTTATAGTTATCTTAATATTATGATTTTGACAAAAACAAGATTGATCATTTCTTTTGGTTTAAAGTGAACTGTGACTTGCTTATATATTCCAAGGTTCGGTCTAAATTGTCATTAGATTGAACGGTCTACATTCAGAAAATAAAAGCACTAGGTATAATTTGAAATATGATTTAAGAACCATATGGTGGTTTAAGCAACTTTTTAATTTTTGAAAAAATCTGGTGCCAAGCAATAAGATTTGTGTATATTTGTTTAATAATAACCTATTCCAAGTCTGAGTTTTAAAAATATACATTTCCCAAGTATTGCATTATTGGGGTATTTAAGAAGATTAGAGAAAAAGATTTCTCATTTGATATAATTTTTCTTGGTTTCACTGTGTGAAAAAAAGAACATATTTCCCATAAATGGGAACTTTGCCCATTATCTCAAAAAATATGTATTTCAGTGACAACTCTGGTCTTTTTAGAGATGTAATCCAAAATTTCCTCATTTTTAGATTATGTAACTAATAAAAACTACTTTAATTACAGTTTTCTGCACATGATAGTACTGGACATGCTATTGATTTTGGAAGTTTTTATAAGTTCATGATATCCTCTTGATTACTATAAAGGTTTGCCCTTTTTTGTTCAGTTTATGGTTTATATTTTTCTTATTTGTCATGGGTTACATTTTTAATTTTTCAAAATGGATGATAATTTCCTGGAAATGTTTTTCATGTTTTGGTGACAGTACTTCTTGTTATTACAAACTGAAGTTTACAGAGAGATCCATCAAACTGAGCTATCTGTAGATAATTTGAAATTATGAAGTAGCCATTCACTTCAGATTTTATGTCATTCTTATTGAACTTTTTTTTTTTTTGGATGTGAAGTAAACATTCCTGATTTTTATTTGATGTGGAAAAACCTTGGTATTTTACATTTTGAAAATTCACAGTAACTTAATTTGATACAAAATAAAGTTTGCATTGTACTCAGGAAAAAGCATCTTCTAGTATAAGTTTAAATGTATCTTTGTCCTCATATATAGGAAGTTCTTAATTGATTTTGTCTGTATGCTTGATATTTAAAAATCATAACATTTTTATCTTTTAAAAAGACAAACTTCATATTTCACTGTTCTTTCTTGACTGCTAGTATTGTGTGGTATTTCTCAGGTGGAAATCAGCAGGATGGAACATTTAGTGTATTTTCACTCCTTAAAGAGTTAGAACATATATTTTTCACCGTACAGCCAGGGTAGGGGTGCCGTGGAGAACTGCATTAGGCACCAGAATGGGAAAAATCATAAATGCTCACAGTGATCCACTGACCATTTTGTAATGGATGATTTCTGTAATGTCCCCCTTTTTCAAGGTTCTTTTGCTGTGTAAATCTATTAGACTTACAGAATCATAGTGTAATACAGTTTTCTTTAAAAGTCTCTCCTTTAGAATATTAAATATTCTGCCATTGAAGAGTTTGGATTTGTAATTTGCGATGCCTTAGAATAATATTCTAAGCACAAAATCAACTTTTCTAAGTACTTCACTAAAGCTGAAGACCAGTATGATTATTTGAAGACCAGTTGCTTGTTTGAAAGTATGCTTTATTGCTTTGTATTTAACAGTGTTCAGATGAAGAGTTGTGTGTCAGTATACATGTACTTGATATGTGTAATCAAGTCATTCTGTTACTTGAGTTGATGGAAGAAAATAATGCTCATTAATCAAGCATTCTATTTTTTAGTGTTACATGTGACATTGTCAAGTTTTTAATTAGATATATTACGGAAAATTAAAAGTAGGCTGAACAGATAGGGTTTCAATATTTTAGGATACATACAATCTCACAGATCTTAAAAATTGTCACTGTAGGCTGGGAGCGGTGGCTCGTGCCTGTAATCTTAGCACTTTGGGAGGCTGAGGTGGGAGGATTGCTTGAGGCCAGGAGTTGGAGACCAGCTTGACAAACATATCAAGACCTCATCTCTACAAAGAATAGAAAAATTAGGTGGGCATGGTAGTTTGCACCTGTAGTCCCAGCTACCAAGAAGGTGGGTGGGCCAGGTGGTTCTGAAAGCCCAAGAGTTTGAGGTTACAGTGAGTTATGACACTATTGCACTCTAGCTTGGGCAACAGAGCAAGACCCTAGCAAAAAAAAAAAAAAAAAGATTGTTACTATAGATATTTGAATAATTTTCTGTTAATGACAGGCTTACAGAATGTTATGGAACCACAAATGCTTCAGGAAGGATTAAAGTGCAGTACCAGTAACATCCTGGAGAATTACAGCTCACCCACCCTCCGTAATCATTCAGCTTTACCACTAAAGTATTGTAAATTCTGGTCTCTAGTGAAAATGCAGTGTTATACCACATAATTGCCTAAATACGTAATGATCTATCAGTAAGACTGAAAAAAATTGAAATGATTCCAGAGTATATCCAATAGCTGCCACTCACTGGGTACCTACTAGAGGTTTACTAAGTTGTTTTCCTTTGTTCATTTAGTCCTAACAACTATCATTTAAGATAGGTAAGCATTACACATCTTTCAGATGAACAGGCTTAGAGTTACGGTAGAATTGGAATCTACTTCTGCCCCATTTTTGTCCTGTTTTTCAGTATGAGTGCTGAAAATTCAGCATATTTGGTCTTAAAATGTCACTCCTATCAAATATAGAAATCCATGATATTCAGAAATACTGCAATTATTCAATATTTGCAGTCTTGTGATGTTGCTTACTGCAGAAGGAAAGTTATTACAGTAAATGATGCTTTCAAAAGCAATTTTCTCTCAAGTTAGTTGTGTCCTTATTCAACCCTGTGCATAAAGTTATAGTTCTGGACTTAATTACGATAAGATCAACATTTTTGAATGAAGATCTCTACTCAACTTTTAGGGTTAACTAGGACATTCTAATTTATCCCCAGTCAATTTAAGATGGAGTTATTAAATTACTTTTGATGTCTTTTGTTAAGATAATTGAGTTAGATAATTTTAACTAGTGGTCTTAGTGATTGTAATTTTAAAAGTATTTTTTTAAATTGAACATCTTTGCAGGTGTATTGCATATCTTGCAACTTGTATTTATTTGAAACAAGTTGGAAGCTTGATAATATGTAAGTAGCAAGGTCAAATTACATACTTGAACAGATATAAATTATTCCCTCTCATTTTCTTTCATTTATTTTTAATTGACAGATAATTGTGTATAATTATAGAATGTGATATTTTTGTCTATATTTACATTATAGAAAGATTTAGTCAATCTAATTAACATATTCATCACCTTACTACATTATTCCTTTTTTTTCTTCCCATCAGATGAGTAATGTGCTGACCTCAAAACAATGTTTGAGAGAGGCATATCTCACACATATATGTGAAAAACCCAATCATCATGCTTATGAACTACAAAAGGATGTAGGATTTTTTTTTGGTGCTGGAAATGTTAATAATCTAGCAATTTTGAAATATACAATATGTCATTACTAACTTTGGTCACCATGCCGTGCAGTAGACCAATAAAACTCCTCTTGTCTAACTGAAATTTTGTATGGTCAACATCTTCCCTTTCTTCCTCAGTCACCCTACCCGTCAGCCGCTAGTAACCACCTTTCTACTCTCTGTTTCTATGAGATTGACTTTTTTAGATACTCCATATAAGTGAGGTCAAACAGTATTTATCTTTCTGTGCCTGGCTTATTTCACTTAGCATAATGTCCTCCAATTCCAACTATTTTCTTGCAAATGACAGAATTTCCCATTTTAAGGCTGTGTGGTATTCCACTGTGTATACACACAACATTTTCATTATCCATTCATCCATTGACAGATACTTAGGTTTTTTCCCTATTTTGGTTATTGTGAGTAATGCTGAAATGAACATTGGGGTGCGGATTGATTTCAGTTCCTTGGGATATATAACTGGAAGTGGGATTGCTGGATCATATGGCAATCTTATTTTTATTTTTTTGAGGAAACTCTGTAGTCTTCCAAAATGCTGTACTAATTTACATAACCAACAGTGTACAAAGGTTTCCTTCACATCCTCGCCAATACTTCTTATCCATCTTTTTTTATAATGGCTATTGTAATAGGTGTGAAGTGTTATTGTGGGTTTAATTTGTGTTTCCCTGATGTTAAGCATTTCTTCATATATCTGTTGGCCATTTGTATCTCTTTTTTTTTTTTGTTTTTTTTGAGACAGAGTCTCGCTTTGTTGCCCAAGCTAGAGTGAGTGCCATGGTGTCAACCTCGCTCACAGCACCTCGAACTCCTGGGCTAAAGCAATCCTGCTGCCTCAGCCTCCCTAGTAGCTGGGACTATAGGCATGTGCCACCATGCCCGGCTAATTTTTTCTATATATATTAGTTGGCCGATTAATTTCTTTCTATTTATAGTAGAGACGGGGTCTCGCTCTTGCTCAGGCTGGTTTTGAACTCCTGACCTTGAGCAATCCGCCTGCCTCGGCCTCCCAGAGTGCTAGGATTACAGGCGTGAGCCACCGCGCCCGGCCTGTTCCTACCCATTTTGATATGGATATTTTCTCAGTAGTCCGGTGTGTAGGAGTCTTTCAACTGGATTCTGGCTTTCCCTCAGAATTGATCTAAGTGTTGGTGTTTATTCAGTGTATCTGTGGAAGGAAAGTTAGTCAAGAGCCTCCTATTTTGCCATGTTTCTTATGTCAGTCACTCTTTTAAAATAATTGTTTATTTTGATTCATTAATTACAAATGATAATATCAATATTTTGGCTATTAAATGAAGTCAACTTGGATGGGGTGCAGTGGCTTACTCCTGTAATCCCAGCACTTTAGGAGGCTGAGGTGGGAGGATTGCTTGAGCCCAGGAGTTTGAGATTAGCCTGGGCAATGTGGAGAGACTCCTCCTCTACAAAAAATTTAAAAAATTAGCTGAGCATGGTGGTGTGTGCCTGTCGTCCCAGCTACTTGGGAGGCTGAGCCAGGAGGGTCGCTTGAGCACAGGAGTTTGAGGCTGCAGTGAGCTGTGATCATACTGCTGCACTCCAGCCTGGGTGACAGAGCAAGACTGTCTCTAAAAAAATTTTTTTAAAAGAAATCAGCTTGTATCTCCTTTGTATTCGTTTGGCTGTGTGTGACATTACTTTTAAGCCTATTTTCATAGTGGTATCGCAACTCAGACTGGTTGTATCCTGAAAATGAAAACATTAGTAATGAAAATACAAGAAGTAAATTGACCAAATAGAAGTTTGACTTACCTAAAACTTCATTAACATTTAATTAAGAGAGTCATAGATTTAACTTCAGTGAAAATATACTTTGAAGATAAACAATGTATTTTTAAACCTTCCTAGATTTGGTATTTTTAATAAAGCATGTTAGAAATACGGTTATGAGTAGATTAGTAAATAAGCTCAAATCCTTAGGATGACTTAACATATTGCCACCTGGACATTTCAAAGAAACTCTCCAAACTTTAGACGTCTCTCCTCTCTCACACAATCAAGTATATATTTCTTGGTTGGAAATTTTAATTGCTCTTAACTATATTGCCTCCTACCCCAATTAATATTCCCTATACCACTTTAACAAATCAGCTGTTCCGTGAACATTCCTCACATTCTGTCTGTTGGTTCAAGAGTCAGATCAAATTCTTTAAGTCCTTTCTGGACCACAGTCATTTTTTTCACAAACTATAGTGTGCATTTTATCATTCTCTGGTAGTTAAATCACATTTTGTCTTGTAATATTTCTTCTCTTGCATTTATCATGCTAACTAGCTGGATGACATTGAGCAAATGATCATACATCTCTTGTCCTCAATTTATGTGTAAAATGATTTATGAGATTTCTTCTCTACCTTTAACAAGATAATCAGTACTTTCACAATTGTCTCCAAAACTTGATTGTCAACTCCTGGAGGCCTGAGACTTGTTAGTTTGAGACAAACTGTAGTGTCGTGGAGGAGACTTCTGGGCATTGATTTTCAAATTTGTAAAATAAAACAGGTCCTTAGGCACTAACTTACATCCTCTTTCTACTGAGATGGTACAGCAGGAAAAGAAAGGCTGTCCTGCCCTTGACTCTCATAGTTAACACAGTTGTGTCACTGTAGTAACATGGTCCCATCCTTCACGGCAGAAGCCAGATTTTAAGTCCTTCATCCATCTTTCTCTGCATTCATTCTTCAGAGGCAGCTGACTACACCCTTCCCTGCTAGGATTGAATTTTGATTATTAAGACACATGCTAATCTAGTTCAGCAGTTGACATCGCCAATGGACACGTGGTCCAGTTTGAGCGAATGAGATGTTGGGAGCTTCTGGAAACATCTCATCCCTTAAAAAATGAGACTCAGAGAAGAGACATTTCTTTCTTCTGGAGTTTGGTATAATCTGGATATGATGCATAGAATTTTGTGGTTGTCCCACAGCCTGAAGATGAAGATAATAAATAGGAGGGCAGAGCCAAGGGAATCTCAGAAAAGCAAA